ACCTTGTCGAAACGTTGTACATTTGCTGTTATGTTAAACTTATATTAAAGTTTTTCTTCATTACCCATTCAAGCCGTCTCCAGCCATTATTAGTCTCAAAGTGGGTTCCTCGTCATCGAATCTCATGTTTACTGACCACTTGGTGTCATATACGAGACAAGAGTATCAAAAATTCTACCTAATATTTTAACTCGACATATTGTTTAATCCACACTTTAGTATTTAAATACAAATAAAACACACATATATTGTTATAAAGCAAAATGTAAAATTACTTAAATGACTTAGACATAAAGTGCTACAACTGAACACATAATTTCTGGAAGAAGAAAAAAGATACCGGATCCCTGCGGACGAGTGATGGAGGAATTTTGAGTTTCGGAAGATAACTGTTTTAAATGCTTGGGATGTGAAGTCAATTTTTTTATTCATATTACATATCTTATAATTAATTACTTATTTCTGACACTAAATATCTCCAGAACATATCTCAGAACTGGAGAAATAAGGTAGAAATTAAACAGTAAATACAAATAACTATTGACTTAATATTACTAAATAACAGTACAAATAGTGTCTTGCCATATAATGAAAACTTTTTCACTAACCGTTTTGTCAATGCCCTCCGTCACTAAAATTTCTATACTTCAATAGAATCTTACCACCACCAAATCTCGGTTTGTCTAACGACCTTGTCCTAGCAGCTCGAGCTATTATACTCATCGGTAGACTGCAGCGCCACCACGTACGTAAATGGCATCTAACTCGATTCATATATAAACAATTTTGGGATCTGTACTACATTGATGTTAAGTTTTTATTTTGTTATTTGGTTGAATGTTCTCATAAGCATGTATTAACTTACACTATAAAAATGCTTATTTTCTTAATCATTTGCAATTTATGTAACAGTTCTCCAGACAATAAAAGTGTTTAACCATATTTATTCTGATGTTATAAGACAGTAAGTAAGGTTTGAACAGAATACATTTAGACAGATTCTGTATATTAGATTTAAGTTTGAAATGTCGTAGCAAATGGTTTGAAAATTTAAAAATAAAAGTGAGTGTGAACATCTTTATAAATGTCACACTAATATCATTATAGCTTTATTGGTGGTTATCATATAACATACTTATTTCACAATATCATTAAATGTTAACTGTAGTTAAGTGATACCAATTGATAAATTATAATACTGTCATTAAATATTAGATTTAGACACAATTTTTGCATTTAAATAATAATAATGTCATGATCCATCATCTGTACACAAAGAACAACTATGCCATCACATATTACCTGTAAAGAGGTAAAAACAGATTCACGACATATTATTTGTGTATAAGTAACAACAATGCTATCAATATTACGTGTATATAAGTTATAACAATATCTTATTATCAGTAGATAAATTCCTACAATGTCATCGCATACTACCTGTAGAGAGGTAACAAAAATATCATGACAATATCATGGCATATTACTTGTATACAGGTAACAACATTGTCATAACATAATATCTGCAAATAAGTAACAACAATATCATGACAATATTATGGCATATTACTCCTAGATAGGTATCAACAATAGTATGAAATATTATCTGAAGATGTGTACCTAAAACGTTATATCGTATAATCTGCAGATAGGCAACAACAATGTTATAGCAAGTTACTTCGAGATAAATAACAACGTCATGATTTATTGATCGTAGATAGGTAAGAACAACGTTTTTGATATATCACTAATAAATGAATATCTAAAATGTCAAGGAATATAACATACAGATAGAAAGCACGTGACGTATTTATTATAGATATAAACGAACGTCAGGATATTGTTTCCTTGCTAATAGATAACACTATCATGACATTATTTTTGAAAGTTTTATTAGAATCGTATTTTATAACATAAGCACACAAACAGATATAGGGGGGGGGGTAAACTTCAAAAATTATATTTCTTTACTTTTCTCTGGTCTTAACACAACATATTTAATATATATAACTGCTCGAAACTTTTAAACTATTTCATCTAAAATTGAAAGCTGCTTGTCAATGTGTGTAAGTGTTTCATTTGATGCATAATTACATTATATTTACATCTATGCAAACAATACGTTTGTGTTTGTCGTCCTGATATTTTCTCGCACATTTCTCGATCAAACGCTATAAAACTCATATTTAGAAAGGCTTTTGACCGGGGATTCCGGATTGCATATTGGCTTTTCCATTCAGGATGACCTCACCTGTTTTTTGCGTGTGTGTGTGTGTTTTTTATAGCAAAGCCACATCGGGCTATCTGCTGTGTCCACCGAAGGGAATCGAACCCCTGATTTTAGCGTTGTAAGTCGTGATTTTTGCTGAGTCACACTTTTTAAGGCAACTATTATGTTACACAATGGCACAATGTCGTTGTCATCACGTGACAACTGGCTTTAACTGGCTTCGATTTCAACTTTAGTTTTTTATTTACAAAGTATTTCACACAAACAACTCTTAACCCTCGTGTAACTTACTTAAAAATTAGCATTACATTGAAAACAATTTCTATGGGCTTTCTCGACTTATTCAGGTCTAAAATACGCATGTGCAGTTCGTTCAAAACAATACGTGAATACGCATTCAAACGTTTCTGCATAATCAGCTAAGTTTGCCTTCATTACCACTTTACATTTACTTTAATTCGCAAATAATTTAGCTTCGGTTCGTTTCATAGACTGCTATAAACACCTGTTAGCTACTTTTTTCTTTAGTACAGGTATTAATCCTCGTTTTTGTGAGTTTCTTTGTTTCAACTCGTAAAACTGTGTCATACACTGAACGCTCATAACTGTTTCATACTCTGTACACTATTATAAATACATTACTATATTTTATTGTTTACTTCACTTTATTAAATAAAGTTACGTGTATGTGAGTTTCCTTGTCTGACTGTTTAAAATTTTTTCAAGTAGATCAGGATTTATCTATCTAACATATAATGCCCGCAAGTTTGTTTGTAGTTTAGTACAAAGTTACACAATGGACTATCTGTACTCTGTCCACCACGGGTATCGAAACCCGGTTTCTAGAGTTGGAAGTCTGCAAACAAAGGCCTGCAAGAAAGCGTATCTTAAATAGCATGCCTGAAAATGATAAAATAAGGAAAATTCAAGCGAATGGCATAAAAACTACAGCAAATGTTTTGCGGGTCGTGGCTAATCCTATTTTGTGTTACAGTTACAACATGTTAAATTCAGCCATTTTTTTCTTGCCAATTAATTAATTCTTGATCACGTAGCAATCACGTTGTTACTTTTGTCTCAATGAGTACACAACTGTAAACGAAACTAATGACTGAGTAAGATGGGTTTCACTCTTACTATTATTAACATTTTTTCATACATAATATATGTTCATCATTTTACCTTTCCACGCCCTTTTTGAATGATTGAAAGTGGCTCCATCAGTGTGAGGTGACGGAACTACAACTGATTAAGAATGCCAAGTAGGTTGATCCGTGATATAGCTTGCCTGAGTCACAAGTGTTCCTGAATTTAGACGGAGATGTTCGAGCACGAAATATTTATCACGTTTAAATTGTGCCAAGAAAGTTTTTCTGCCAAACTCGGGCCCCCCTGTATGTATTAGCAGACTTTAGGCTTGCAGTTAGTTAATGTTATTGTACTGTACATGTGTGAAGGATAATCATGTCTAAACTAGCTTGAAGGATGTTTCCAGCACACGAAGTAATTAAGTAGCTCTGAACTTTTTCGAAATACTTTTCAAAATAAGTTTTGTTATTGTTGTTGCTAGCTAGGCGACGTGCATTAGCTTCAACTTAATTAATATGTCATAACGCTTAAAAATAGTATTATATCATTTTGATTTTATTTCGGACAGTTTAGATTTTACAGTAATCTTTATGTTGAATACAGAAAACGGTTTAATTTCCTTAAGAGGCTTTTCGATATCTTTATGTGGCACATTTTGATTGGCAAAAGACACTAGATGTGTAAACTGTAAATAGATGAACCAAAGTTTAAAGGAACTCTCTCAAACATTCTTGAGAGTTAAAAAAATAAGGAACATTTCCTGATGTTATCTTAGCAGATATAGTTCTTAACTGTTAGTTTATTTCCTTGTTTTAATGTTTCATCTTCTACTTCCAATTAACTATGGATAGTAACACTTACTTCATGCCAATAACATATGGACTTGCAATCAAACTTTCTCCACGAACGTTCGCCTGTTTGTCACTGGCTAACGTTTTTGTCGTTGCTATTTGTTGTTGCTGAAACCTTATATGATGAGATTGAATTATTTTTGCTGATGTACAAACTGTTTTTGCGACACAAGCTAAAATATCACATATAAGATATATGTCTTCTTGATAACCAGCAAACTTATTCCATTATGCGCAGTTATTCTCTTTCTGTCATTGAAGATTAGAAGACTCAAATAGCTTCAAATTATGTTTAACTTTACTATTCATTCTAAATTATTTTTTTTTACTTTAAACAAGATTCCAGCCAAAGAGAGTTGATGGATATTTTATTTTCTCGTGGAGTCCCTCAAGTAATTAAATTAATTCTAAAATTTAAAGTAGGATGTTAATAAGGGCAACTGTTTCTCCGTGCAACTACATGACTAATATGTATTAACTTAGATGTTTGTTAATAGAAAAACTAGTTCTTTCATTAACTAAATTCTACTAAAGATATGGAATAGCTGTAGGCTATTAGAGGCAACTAACTGCTCGTAAAGAAATGAGGTTGGGTGGTATCAGAAGGAACTTTTGTTTTTATGTTTTGTACATTTTGGCTTTACACTTTTATAAGAAACGGTAACTATCTTGAAAAATAGTGTCCAGTTTCTTAAAGATTGAACGAAACGTTTTGTTTTTAAGAAAATAAAATGTGTCCTCTATCTTTTTTTAAATATGTCGAAACGTCTCCAATCAGCACTCGTTTTTCTTTTTTTAAAAAAAATGTGGAGCTAAATGTTGACTAACAGAGACAACAGTTGAATTTTGTAAGCAACTTATTTATAGCTGTGTGAGCGTCATTCGGAAAAATGATTTCAAGTAAATTCATTGTGTAATGAGTGGAACAATAAAAGTGCCCCCCTCCCCCCTATAATATACACTGGTCACTGATACGTTTATACTGAACATGATGCTTAAAGAGGTAACACAGTTTGAAGCGAATAGAAAATTACTGCAAACATCAACAACATAAATCAATAAAGTGGTCTTGATAACAGATGTCTAAATTCATTTAAATTAGCGTGGAAATTTCTTTATTTAGATGATCCAGATTTTGAAAGTTTAAAAACTATTTGGGTGGCCTCAATTGAGATGAAATAATCTCTGAAAATTTAATTTTCTTCTACGTCAAGTTTAGTGTCTTTCCGTGGGTCAATGGTAAGTTTTCGGACTTACAACTCTAAAATCCGGGGCTCGATTTTCCGCAGTGGCTAGAGAGTAGATATTTCATTGTGTAGCTTTGCGCTAAAACAAACAACAAACACATTGAAGTTCAGAAGCTCGAGAAACTTCTGTAGCTGGCTTTGTGTTACGTAAAAGAACACTTTAAGCGTTTACTGACTCTGCTCTAAACGATCTGCCAAGAAGCTTGACACATAATCCAAAGTGTCACTAAGGTTTATGTTACTGA